TATGTGGGTCTCTAGTTTCTCCAAGCTTAAGGTCCGGTCTGTAGGTGAGATCTTATATGAGGAAAAATTGATCCCTACGAACTTTAAAGTTGCAGGTACTCATATTAAGGCCATTAAGTGGAATGATACAGATGCATCTCAAGCTGAATACAGATGTATCATTTTTACCTGGTAAGTCAGGGGGTGGAGCGATTTTGAGAAATCAGAACGGTGAGTTGGTAGCTGCTATCTCCTTCCCGGTTGACGCTACTTCGAGTCTAGAAGCAGAGATCTTGGCCGTTGTGATGGCTACACATTGGGCATTGGAGAAGGGCTTCTCTGATTTTGAGCTTGAAATGGACGCGGCAGCTATTATCTCATTGTTGGCTCGGGTAGGAGACGGACGATGGAAGATTTTACTTCAGGAAATGCGGCTGAGCAGAATTAGGAAAGGGATTCGATTTGGGCATGTTTGACGTGAATGCAATTGGACGGCTCACTTTTTGGCTCTCTATTCTTGAGCCCAAGTCCAATTTTTTTAATAATCCTAAGGAACTTCCTTTACAGGCCCGTGATGCTTATTTTAGAGATTTATTTGGTTTTCCTTCATTTAGATGTTTCTATTAATTTTTTGGGTGGTATACCATCCAGGAGAGGTTTTGGTCCTGTCCCCCTCTTTTTTGTAATGTTGATTTCTCTATTTTTATAAAATCCGGTAAACGTTCCTCGGCGTTTACCCCACTGATTTTGGTGGTTTGTCTACCGGGTTAAAAAAAACTAAATTATATATTTAAATTCAGGCTGCAATTATAAATGTTGTTTATGTGACCACAGTACCACTCACCTTTTAGTTCTAAATTTTGAGAAAATATTTATAACAAAGATAACAAGCACATTTCTTAGTTTTATGAAGTGATGATCAAGAGTTTACAATTAAGTGCTAAGTACTTACCATCATCATTACAATTTACAACAGAAAAGAAGTACTCCCTCCGGTCCTTAATTAACTTTACACTTTCCTTTTTGAACCGTCCCATATTAAACTTTACACTTCCTTATTTGCCTTATTTGGCAAACAAATCTACACCAAACATTGTTAAACAGTGCCAAACAATGTCAAACAATGCCAAACAGTGTCAAACAGTGTACTCTACAGTAAAATCAAAATTATTTCTTTAATATGTGTGAAGTCAAAGTGTAAACTTCATTAAGGACTGGAGGGAGTATATAAAATTGGGAAACTAAAACCTGGATCAGAGGCAGGGCACAACATTACATATTTAAGTTCAAACCTAATTCAGTCAAACAGTCAAATGACAAGGTGTAGTCAATTTAACAACATGAATCAGGAAAGTTGACTTTTTTACCAATGAAACCTCGATGTATTAATACTTTGGTAGTTTATTTATCTCGACCTTGAAAATTTTATGTAAAAATGATCACACAATGGTTAACTACTAATTGAGAGTTAGTTAGTTAAATATCCATCATTATAGTTGGAGTCGACAATAGTTGTTCAAGGCTCATATTTAATTATGGACAAAGATTGTTCAAACACCACCATAGCTGTAAAGATGCTTGTTGTCAAGTTTTTTCTACCAAGCTACCTGTCAGATTGATCCATGTCAGAAAAGGGGTAATTTCATCATTATAGCCTCAAGTATCTTGGAGCATAGCAATATAGAACTGATGTCAATCAAAACTTCATTTTTTACAAATAATATCACAATAGTGACATTCTCAAAACTTACCAAATAGCAAACGAAAAACAATGTGTTTTTATGTAAGGACGGTTTAGAAAAAGGGGTCTAAAGTGATGTGATGAACTACTGAAGCATATATTGTATTATTTCTATGTAAGGTTATTGATCTCTGGAATATTTATTACATGTTCTTATAAGTAAACCCATCTTCCTCTCGTAAAGTAAAATCTTAAGATTGCAGCATCTAAGGCTGAATTTGAGGTGCATCACCTGAACAAAGGTTGCAATAGTTTTTTTTAAATATGAGCAATAAATTAAATGTTCCATAATTGTGTAAGGGAAGTGTTAGATATGTACCTGTCTTTGAAGTGTTGAATTTATGATATATTTTCATTTATGAGCAGTTTGGAAGCATATTTTGAGTTTTGTATAGAGAATGTATATTTTCATTTATGAGCAGTTTGGAAGCATATTTTGAGTTCTGTATAGAGAATGTCTGTGCACTTGGCACGTGAAGGTGATATTTTTTAATAAAAATGGTGTCACATATATGGTATTGAGACGCACATTAAAATTGAATGCAACCCATTGGGTGATAGTGTGATACCTTCTTGCTCCTTGACCTTTGCTCGAGTCAATATGATTACAGTGTGACCAACTGACCACTACAATGTTGTGAAAGAATAATGAAAAAAATAAGACGTGTGACTATTAATGAATATATCACATTAAAGTGGCACTGGAGCAAGCTTTTGATGGATTTATTAATTCGCCTTATCTTAGATCTCTCATAGTGAATACAACCTTTTTTGGAGTTGAGGAGGATTGGCAATGGATCATTTTTTGGAAACCGCCGATGACATCTGCAATTAAAAAATAAACAAAATGAAAATAGAATATTATATTATTAGCAATAAATTGAGTAATGTGCGAAGGGGTAAGTATGTATTACCTATTAAAACATTAGTGTGAATAGTTTCACTAAGAATATTTTTAAAACTCTTGAAATCATACAGACTCAATGGAATGGAAGACATTTCTTGTTCTTTAAGAGTTGTGCCACTGTTGAATTGCAATTCCTAAGGATGATCACTTGCTTTATATTGCCCCTCATTTGGCAAAACACAGAAGTTTTGCATAAAACAGGTCCTACATTCTATTATTTTTGGCTTCCAAATGACCATTCCAGGATGTTTTAATAGTGCTTGTATTTTGTGAAACTAATTGTGGGGCACATGATAAAAATAATACTTGTTAAGTATGCACTGTAAACTTTGCAAAGAATATGAAGCAATTATAATGGTAGACATGTAGACGTACCTTAGAATCCATCAATATCATTTCAAGGAGACTGGGCTTTAAGGTAGTCTGGTTGGTAAAAAGAGATGGAACTCTCACAGCAATCTTCGAGGTCTCTTTACCGTCATTAATATCTTCTATGTTGTTGAATTTTCGTGCCATTATGCAGCACCTATATGTGCCACAAGCGCACAACATGCTAGTTTATTCATTTAGTTCAGAAAAAATAAGCCATGTGATGGCAAATATAGTGACAAAGCAAAATCCCAACCATTCAAAACGTGCATCACATCATTATGGAAAGCATTCGTAGATGTAAAGTTTAATTAACAAAATTCACTTAATAAGCAACCACTTTGGGATAGAGAGCAAAAGAGCAACTAAACTAACTCACCACAGTCCAATTAATAAAATGATGAATGAATTTTATGAATTTATTTATTGGAATGTTGAATTCTTTTCAGAGGATCGAAAGGAATGGTGGTTTTTCCAGATATTGTTTTCAAATCATTTTTGTATATTCAGATTAGATATGCGTGAATGACAGTCTAAACGAAAGACCACTTTTTTTGCCGCAAACAAAGTGTAGGAAGAAACAACATATGGAATTAAACAACATATGCACTTGGTACTCACAACAACCAGGAATAAGTCTTCAAGTATGGCCTAAATTTGGGGTTTGATGTTTGTGTGTGTTAGGGCAAGCTCAACCTAAAAAACAGAGTCGGTCATGCTTTATTATATGTTTTCTAGCAACAAATATTATTCATTGAAAAAAACAGCAAACCAAATCAATTAGTCTTACGTATTTTATTACCCTCAATCGACACCAAGAAAATAACCAAACAAACACTCACTAAGACAAAATCACAAACACTCACTTCCAAATGTTTCAACGTTTCTGTTTTTTTACTTGTTCATGTTATCTAAATGAAGCAGAAATAAATTTAACAACAAGATAGACAATTGAATGAAAAGTAAAATAAAAGAAGACAAATTTAGTGACTGGGATGACAAATCGGGTACTGCTACAAGCGTGGGTGTCTCATAGAGAGCTTTAGTTAGCCACAATAATAAGCAAGCTTCAACTATAAGGTCTGTTGATGCTAGGGTTATTGGAACTCCCAATTAATGAGCAAACAGGGGAAATGAATCGAAATAAAAAGAAAATTATGTAAATGAGAAGAAAATTACCATGGCAGTCGTTTCACGCTTTATCCACCACCTGTGCGACTTTCAGATTCATATGGTTTCAGAAGATCACCGCTACCTTCAGGTCTTTGAGAGCTTTGAGAGTAGCGTCCATGGCAAAGCTGATCCTATTCTCCATGTCTTCATTCATTCGGCGTACAGGAAGGAGAACCCTAAAATCTGAATTTTTGGAGTAAAATGAGAAGAGAAGAGGAGGAGGAAGAGGAGAAAATGATCAAGTGTTGGTGTACAGGTCAAGTGAGGGAGGAGAAAAATGAAAGGCTCGTGTTAATCCACACTCAGCAAATCATCTTCATTAGCAACTATAGATAGGACTACGCCCAGAAGTCGTTAACAGAGCTCAAAATTCGTAGACCGTAGAAACGGAAATAGACCCAACTAACCCTCTTAGAGCTTTTTTATATATAGTAAGATGTATATATATATAGAATAAAAATCAAATGAGAACAATGCTTAACGTGAGAACGTGAGAGCACTATATTTATCCCAACGTGTTGCACAATGAAGCTTGTGTATTTCACATTTTCACAATATTTACCAAAATGCCACCGTGTTTATATAATATAGGCTTATTGGAACAAATTGAAAATGTGCAACAAAATAGTACCATTGTGCACCACATTGATTTAAATGTGATGTTCTCGCGCTCTTACGTTAAACATCGTTCTTATTTAAATAGCGCAGTCTTTTTAAATTACATGTTTGACTATCTTCACGATTGAATTTTTAACTGAAATTTTGTATAAATAAACTACATTTGATAAAAAAATTCATCAATAAATCATCTCAAAAATGAAGTCCCAAAATGCAAGTTGATCACTAAATTGGCCCTTTGTTACGTATCATCTCACCATCCCCCGCTTCTCCCGATCGCATCATCAATCAATCACAAACCTGGCCTACCAGTGACAAATTTCCAAGAATTCGAGTATATATTTTCAGAGTCCTCAACAGATTTGAAGTCTCACACACACTGCATTCTTTTGCCCTTTCACTCAAAAGATTGCAAGATTCTCTTCAAGCAAACAAATAGGGAAAAATGGAGTGCGACGGAATTCTCTTGGGGATGGGTAACCCACTCCTAGACATTTCTGCTGTCGTCGACCATGAATTCTTGAAGAAGTATGTTACACTGAAATCCTAAGCTTTCGATTTCTCATACTTCCATTGTTTTTGTTTCAATCTCTTCTTGCTTTCTCTTCCTTTCTGGAGGATCGACTTTGTGATGTGTTGTCTGGATTCCTAGATCTGCCTGAATCTCTAGATCCCTTATTCTAGCTTGTTGCGCGCTTGTATTGTTTGATCTTTAATCCATAGATCCTATTTGGTAGAACCTGATGCTGTTGTTGTTAATTATGTATTGATGCTGTCGTTTTCTGTGGGGCTTGTTTGGCATTGACATCTTCTTTTGACTGATAGGTACGATGTCAAGCTGAACAATGCAATTCTTGCCGATGAAAAGCACTTGCCTATGTAAGTATTTGTGCTCTTTAATCACCTGCAGTTTTGCCCTCCTCATTAGCATTTAGTCCTGAATAGGAGCTGAATGTCAAAGACAATCTCTTGATCATCTTAAGATAAGAAAGCAGGATCAAGATGTGAAGTTGTGAATATATTGCTTGATCCAATTGTGGGAGGATGGGCCATTGACCCATGACAGTATATTAGTATAATACTATGGATCTTAGGCAATCATCACAGTATATGATGATTGTTTAGGTGCTTTTAAGTTTTAACTGATGCTCTTAGCCTTGTTTGTTTGTCAGGTATGAAGAAATGACATCTAAGTACAATGTTGATTACATTGCTGGAGGTACAGACTGGAAAGTTTAAGAGCTGGGTGTATCACGCTCTTCTGTTATATTTCAGTTGGACTTTTCATTTACTTTGTTAGGTTGTTAATTTTGTATTGCAGGTGCAACTCAGAATTCAATCAGGGTTGCTCAGGTATCACATTGTTATTGCAGTCTATGGTTATGGCTTGTTCAATAATACTCAGTTAAATTGAATTTACCTTTCGATTATTGACTTCAATAAGTCTCAACAAGTATGTTCAATTCATAATCTGTAAATCTGTATTCTGGATCTACTTAAATATGGTGTAAGATTTACCAAACTGGCTTTTTATATAGATTAAAGAACAAGTACAAAAAAGATTAAAATATACCTACAACCTGTATCTTGCATTTTTGCAGTGGATGCTTCAAAAACCGGGTGCCACCAGTTTCATGGGTTGTATCGGAAAGGACAAGTTTGGGGAAGAGATGAAGAAAAATGCAAAAGAAGCTGGTGTTAAGGTAAATTTTCCCTCTATTTTATTTTATGGGGCCTATTTTATGGGGCCTATTTTCATTATTTTATGGGGCCTATTTTATTTTATGGGGCCTATTACTACCATATATTTGTTGATTAAACAATTTTAGTATTCTAACTATCTGCTGTTTGGCTTGAGTGTGTTATTGTTGATGATTCATATTCTTTCATGCTTCGGCATGTTCAGGTTCACTATTATGAGCATGAGACTACGGCAACAGGTACTTGTGCTGTTTGTGTGCATGATGGTGAGAGGTAAGCAATGCTCAAAATTCAAAATTACATATTGCATAGTCGTGGCCGTTTTTAAAAAATTAAATATTGTGTAAGCCTCACTGCGCAATGAAGTGTATTAGTGAGGCTTAACATATAAAAGCTAAAAAAACTTATTAATCAAAAGTCATATTAAAATCTAAGTAGCACCGGGATAGAAACGGTAATGGGGAAACTAATCTCAAAATATCAAGATACGAGTACGACATAGAAACGTCAAACTAAATATGAATATTAATATTTTACTAATAAAAATAGATAACCATTATATGAGGTTATGTTATGTCCAAAAAATATGAAATAAATAAACCAAACATTTATCCTTTTTTATAATTCATTCTACATGCATAATAAATAAACTGACAAAAGTACATGCTTTATTTAGTGATAAACACACTCTCCAATTCTGGGTCATCTAAGGATAAAGTAGCAAACTACAAATAGTCCATTTCATCCAAATTGCCGAACTCATCTCCTCTAACATTCCACTACCTATTCTTCTCCTCTGCGCATTGCTCAGAACTTCTTGAGAAGAGGCGAAAGTTGTTGTGGACAAACACCAAATCCCGTGCATGCTTAGGAGTTAACTTGTTCCGTCTAAGTGAATGAATAAAGGAGCAAGTGCTCCAAATACATTTACAAGAAGATGAACGTATAATAACTCCCCTTTTGGCAACCATCTTGTCCTCAAGGTGGGTGATATGAAACACTCTGGCCAACAACTTCATCCTTGCGCCTCTTCCTTCCCAATACCTCACCGCGTGTTGAACCAGAATTTCAGTACTTGATCCTTCAGAAGATATGTCTAATGAAGTTTCATTCGTTGCAGTGGCAAATGGTTCCTTGTTTTCATGAGACTTCTCATAGTTTTATGTTAACTCTGCACCCTTCTTGATGTCCCTTACTGCAAAAAAACCATGCAAACTTCTTCATTTATTGCATATTTGCATATTTCTTTTGCCATGCCTCATAGGCATGCATATCAAGCCTTTCTCCAACATATTCAATGATATCGCACCCTTCAGATATATCATCCAGAACTTGCATCCCATACCCCTTGTTGCCACAATTATACCACTTCAAGCTAGCATACTTTCGTCTTTGAAACTGTTGGTTTGAACCTTGCTCACCATAGTTCTCTTGTGTATATAACTTGCTAGTCAATGCAACTCCTGGGCTCGGAACAATCCTCGAACCCACAAACCACTTTGATAGTTTAATGATCACCTTTAGGTGCCTCCCCTTCTGCGAGGGCATTTGTGCAACCAATCCTAGGACTCATTTTGCTTATTCCAATAGATGCACTCATCTTGCTTATACCACAAACAGTTGGATAATAGCCTTGATGATTATTTGAGATATAGACTGCTGACTGGATAATAAGGAGCAGAAAATCCATCTTCAGCCTTGGGGGTCAAAATTGCTTGAAATGCAGTAAAAGTGTGTATCTAGAAGTTGATTGTTGATTGTGCACTGCTATTTCAGCCTCTTCATCATTAATAGCAAACTTTCCTCCTCACACAACCTCTATCCAAGTTACAGGATCTTCATGCGAAGACACTACCCCAAGTGGAACTTTTGCATCTGATTCCCCAAAAAAGGGGTAATCATGGTTCTCTTGTGCCTCTAGACTAGTCATTCTTTTACCCTGGTGTATGATTATGAGAAGAGGTATATCAGATGAGTCAACCTTTGTGAATGCTAAATATATGATGTCCAGTGACAACAATCACACACTCCTTCTGTCCATCTCCTCCAGGGCTATATATTCTGCATGATCTTGCACAATTACATTTCCCTTGGCACCAGATTTTAATTGATGGAAGTTGTTGGAGAGGAGGTCGAGTACATTGAGCTCACTGTCTTTCCCAAATGCAAGTTTGGTCCCATCAGGTGAAACCTGTGGATCTAAAATAGCCAAGGATGATATACTGGTCATCTACAACAGGTAGTCACAACCTACCCAAAAGGAATGTTTCTGGAACCAAGCCCAAAATCCCAATCACTCCGAAAAACTTCCCATCGTTTCCATCCGTTTCTGGACGTTTCGCATTTCTGAAACAAAAACCGGGAGGGTATTGGTGTTTCTGTGCATCCTAGATTAAACCTCATTTTAATGAGGCCATGATCCTTGCAAAACAATAAGTTTAAGGTTCTAAATTCCTAACATATTACCTCCGTCCCATTTAATAAAGTGGTTGAAAAAGTAAAAGATGTGGTTGAGATTTGAGTATAATAAAGTGAAATGTTGTGGCCCAATGCTGAAAAAGTAAAAAATGTGGACCGAGTGGGCCAAACCCTTTTACACTTTCCTAAGTTTTCCCCTCCAGAATCCTCTCCATCCATAGAGACCCCAAGGGATTTTTGTGAACTCAAATATTTCTCATCTTCCTGTCATTTATCCAACACCGTCTCTGTAAACTAACCTCTTGGTTTTTATGTTGCTATCATAAAATAAAATGAACAATTTAGAATTTTAGTATATGCCACCCACATTATTTCCTCAATATAAAATTTAGGATTATGATGTTTCTACTCTTCAAAACCACATTTTTTCTAACGTGATACACAAAATTTGGCTACTGTACAGGTCTCTCATAGCCAACTTGTCTGCTGCAAATTGCTACAAGTCTGAACATTTGAAGAGACCTGAAAATTGGGCTTTGGGTATGCTTCATTTTACTACGTCCACCTTCTATATTCTTTATTTACATTTTATTAACATTTATTGCTGGATTTTTTACATTAGTTGAGAAGGCCAAGTACTACTACATTGCTGGATTCTTCCTTACTGTTTCCCCGGAATCCATTATGCTTGTTGCTGAGCATGCAGCTGCCAACAACAAGGTATGATTCAATATTTGAAGGCTGAATTTGTTAATACATATTTTAAGAATGTGACTAATATCTGAGTGCCACATATTGATGTTTGATTACTTATAGTTGTTCATGATGAACCTTTCTGCACCATTTATTTGTGAGTTTTTCCGGGAAGTACAAGAGAAGGCATTGCCGTAAGTGCTATATTTCTTAGTTTAAAATAATTGATTCGATAAATGGCAACTTATATTGATCTTACTATTACTGTTTTGGATGTTCAGGTATGTGGACTATATCTTTGGAAATGAGACAGAGGCAAGAACCTTTTCTAAAGTTCATGGTTGGGAGGTAATGCTTGTTTTTGCATATTATTTTCTTCATATGACCTTTTAGGGTCAGCTGGGAACTCAGAAAATTGCAAGCAAAAAATCAAATAACCTACAACAACAATAACATTCAAGTCTTCTTCCCAAAAAAAATTTGGGGTTGTCTAACATGAATCGATCCATGATATCGGAGTAAAAAAACATAAGGTAAGATAAAAAGGATAAGATAAAGATTTATAAGAAGATAAAGAAGATAAAAAGATAAAAGAAGTAAAGAGAGAAAAAGAGAGAAAAGAGATCAAAATATTCACACGAATATTTGCCTCCCTCCACTCTGCTCTTTCCAAAGTCATATTTTCATCCAATTCAAGAGGCATATCACCCTTGAGGCCTTGATTCATCTAATCCGCGCTTGTTTGAGCCTTCATGTTTCTCCTCCCACCTCTACTCCCCACATCTCAACTCGTCTAATATGTGGATCATTTGGTATTCTACACACCTGAGCAAACCACTGTAATTGAGACCCTTGCACCTTATCTTCTATAGGTGCCATAGTTGTCACGGAGGCAAGGCGCGGCACCAACCGACCGCCTTATCGCTTAGCCCGCCTAGGCGTTTAGGCGCCCGCTTGGATGACAACTAGGCGACAAGTCGCGTCATATATAATATTTAAATATACATGTAATAAAATATTATATTACAGATTATATTAAAAAAAATACTATGAAACAATAGATTATGTTTCTAGAAAAAATGTCCAAATATAAATTTTCACAAAGAAAATAACATAAAATAGGTAATATGCAATAGTATAGCAGACGTTTGGCAACAAAGATTGAATTTGATAAATGGTATGCAGCTGGACATGACTTAAAAGAAAGAGTAGGAGAAGTTTACTCTACATAAACAGTGTGCATAAAAAATACTCCCTCCGTCCCGAATTGAATTGCAAACTTTGACTGGCACAAGGATTAAGGAATGACAATAAATGATGCTTGTTTTTTACACTTTTGTCAATCTTCCTAAAAGTAGATGCCTTTAAATTAATGGGGAAAAAGCAAAATTAAGGGTAGATTTGTCACTTTATTCTTATTTACATACCTAAAATAGAAAGTGGAAAATCATTTTGGGACAACGAAAATAGGAAATTTTGCAAATCAAATTGGGGCGGAGGAAGTAGAAAAATGCGTAATACATTTAGAAATATGGAGTCCAGCTATCTGCCTAACCAAACAAAAGCCAAAAAGTAAAGAACAGCTAGCGAACTTAAAAAACTGAAACGCCAAAAGAGCGAAGTAAATGGAGGCAGAGGTGGAGCAACTGCGCTATAAAGCGATCTGAGGTGGCGTCCTACTCTGGCGACTTGCGGCAGCGACTCGACTGACAGGATGAACTGTTGTTGGGCCTAGGGTTTTCGCTGGCGGATTAATCTTAAAACTCAACTTCTTCTCTAACCTAATATTCTGGGTTGAAGTGGCAATGACAGGCATTGGGAGTCTCCATCAAGGCATCAACGACTTGCTGGCTCCTAGTCGACGCCGAGTTACGCCTTGGCAGCTTCAGGAGTGTCGAGTAAGCATGGCGCCACTTCTCCACAGCCAGGACGGCTAGTGGTTGCCTAGATGCCATAACAGCTATGATAGATGCTACTCTCACCTTTGTATAATTATCTCATTTCTCAAATGGTCTTTTCTGGTATGTCCACACATTTAACGTTACATACGCATCTCTGCCACACTCATTTTTTGAATGTGACATTGTTTCACCACCGAACACTCTACGCCATACATACATGCAGTTGTTTGATAAAATTAGACTTCAGTCTAGTCGGCATACCTTCACCACACAGAAATCCTAATGCATTTTTCCATTTCACCCACCTTGTTTTGATTCTATGGAATATATCTCCATGTAGTTTACCGTCCTTCTGAAGATGATTATCTCCTTGCCATCAAGGTTTATCTCACTGTTACAGTTGAAGATGGGTTTCAAACCCCTCTGAGAAGAAATCACACACATGAAGCTTACGTTTCTGTTGGGCCAAAGTCATTCATAAAAAATCAAATAATCTGTAGAGGAAATTTGGAAGGAAAGCAAATTTAGGGGGAATAATGACTAACAGATCTATATACAGTTAAATGTAAAAATAAATTAAAAAACTAGCAATTTTGTCTTCCTTCATTTCCTAAGGTACAGACAAGCAGTAAAATATTAATTTTCTAACCAAAAGTCTTCCTTTCCCTACCATATCCCAGTTTCCACGCTTGGCTTCAGTCATTCTATATATGCTTCTAATTATTTTGTTTTTCTAAAGCAGACTGATAATGTTGAAGAAATTGCACTGAAAATCTCACAGTGGGCTAAGGCATCAGGAACACACAAGAGGATCACTGTCATCACTCAGGGTGCAGATCCTGTTGTCGTAGCAGAGGACGGGAAAGTGAAGCTGTATCCTGTGATAACTTTGCCGAAGGAGAAACTTGTTGACACTAATGGTGCAGGTTTGTGTTTACATCTTTGCCTGCCTATGTGTTGATCTTTGAAAAATGAATATAAATAGGAAAGTTGACATAATTTGGGTGGTATGCAAGAGGTCCACATAAGTTAAATCAAATAATTTTTTAAAGATTGAGCTCCACTTTTGGTTTTACAAGTATTGTACCAATCCCACCATTGGTCCACATATCTGATTTTGCCCACTTTTGGTACGTGACTTGTTTCTTACTCACCTTTGGTCTTTCCGTCTATATTTTTGGTGCTTAAAATTTTCTTGTAAGAGACATGGTTTTGAGGTACGTCTAAAGGTAAGGTGTACAGAAACCTAGGTTTCGAGGCTTAGGTTTTTTTGAAGGACAATATTGCGCCTCAGAAGTCAAGCCGGTATGCCCCGAGGCAATTTTCCTTTATTTCTATTTTTTTTTTTAAATTTGATTGCAACTTAATAAAAGGCCCAGCGTTTTTCATTTAATAAAAGGCCCAGCGTTTTTCATTTAATAAAAGGCCCAGCGTTTTTCATTTAATAAAAGGCCCAGCGTTTTTCATTTAATAAAAGGCCCAGCGTTTTTCATTGAATAAAAGGCCCAGCGTTTTTCATTGAATAAAAGGCCCAGCGTTTTTCATTGAATAAAAGGCCCAGCGTTTTTCATTGAATAAAAGGCCCAGCGTTTTTCATTGAATAAAAGGCCCAGCGTTTTTCATTGAATAAAAGGCCCAGCGTTTTTCATTTAATAAAAGGCCCAGCGTTTTTCATTTAATAAAAGGCCCAGCGTTTTTCATGTAATAGAAGGCCCAGCGTTTTTCATGTAATAGAAGGCCCAGCGTTTTTCATGTAATAGAAGGCCCAGCGTTTTTCATGTAATAGAAGGCCCAGCGTTTTTCAATTAATAGAAGGCCCAGCGTGTTTTCATGTAATAGAAGGCCCAGCGTGTTTTCATGTAATAGAAGGCCCAGCGTGTTTTCATGTAATAGAAGGCCCAGCGTGTTTTCATGTAATAGAAGGCCCAGCGTTTTTTCATGTAATACAAGGCCCAGCGTTTTTTCATGTAATACAAGGCCCAGCGTTTTTTCATGTAATACAAGGCCCAGCGTTTTTTCATTTAATAGAAGGCCCAGCGTTTTTTCATTTAATAGAAGGCCCAGCGTTTTTTCATTTAATAGAAGGCCCAGTGTTTTTTCATTTAATAGAAGGCCCAGCGTTTTTCATTTAATAAACCTAGGTTTTGAGGCTTGGGTTTTTTTCAAGGACAAGATTGCGCCTCAAAAGTCAAGCCGTATGCCCCGAGGCAATTTTCCTTTATTTCTATTTTTTAAATGTGATTGCAACTTAATAAAAGGCCCAGCGTTTTTCATGTAATAAAAGGCCCAGCGTTTTTCATGTAATAAAAGGCCCAGCGTTTTTCATGTAATAAAAGGCCCATCGTTTTTCATTTAAAGAAGGCCCAGCGTTTTTTCATTTAAAGAAGGCCCAGCGTTTTTCATCTAATAAAAGGCCCAGCGTTTTTCATCTAATAAAAGGCCCATCATTTTTCATCTAATAAAAGGCCCAGCGTTTTTCATCTAATAGAAGGCCCAACACTTCTCATCATTTAATAAAAGGCCTAGCGCTTTTCATTTTATTTAATAAAAGGCTCATACATTAACATGTGTCCATATTAAACTCTAACAAGTCTTGTTTCATTTAAAATAATCATTTAAACCCTAATATATACTAGCTCCATCTCTTTTTATGTGTCTTGTTTTAATTTGACGTAATTATTATTAATAAAGCTGTTGAAGAGTAAGAGGGTGTTTGGATCTACTTCTTAAAACTGTTTCTGCTCCTTCAGAGAGCAGAAGCAAATATTGTAGTGTTTGGGTGAAAATGCAAAAGTACTTTTGGGTGCTCCAAATTCCAAACAGCCCCTAAGAGTTGTGGCTGAGTTTTGCATAATAAAGTGAAATCATATGGACTGCATATTTCTTTCCAAAAAGGAAACAAGATACTTATTTTTGGGACCACCCAAAAAAGAAAGTAAGATGCGTAAAATGAGACGGAGCAAGTACTTTCTATTAATCACCTTCAGTGTCGATACATCAATAAACATGTAACGGAGGTAAATGATGGTGATGATGAAGAACGGAAGAAGAGAAAGAATTTAAGGATTTTGATAGTGATGATGGAGATGAGGCTTTATTACTAGTTTAATTATTTTAAGTTTAATCACCAGTTTAACTATTTTAAGTTTTATTTGGAGTATTTCGAGGCTTACGCCTCCCCTATGGAACAAACTACCTTGATGCCCGAACTAGGCTTTATAAATATTGTTAAGAGATGCCAAAAACTTGGTCCGAAGGAACACAAATGTGCAATATAGTCATGCACCAAAAGAGGCTAAAGACAATGGCACAGACCCCATGTGAGATTGACATATATGTTGTAGTATTAAAAGTGGAATTAATTCTTAGAAAAAATATCAAAGTTGTGACATAAATGTTTAACTAATGGGGGTATGCTTTTGGACAGGTGATGCATTTGTGGGAGGATTCATCTCACAGTTGGTCCAGGAAAAGCCGATTGCAGAATGCATTAAAGCGGGTTGCTATGCAGCAAACGTTATCATCCAGAGGCCTGGCTGCACCTACCCTGAGAAGCCTGACTTTGAGTAAAGGCGGCTATTCATTCTCTTGATGGCTGGCACCAGCTTTTATTTATTTATTTATTTATATAATTATTGAGATAGATTCTTGGAGTGCGATTCATTGGAGACCTTATTTTTCATTTCACAAACGAGAACAAGCCAGCTCTCAATTCTCATTCAATAAATTCTACTGTTGTATGTTTAATGTTCAAAGGAGGCATATTTTGGATAATCTACACGAGGCTCTATATTTCTTGTCCATGGCATACTTTTATTATTCAATTACCTCGGTGATTATATCATACTGGTAACTAGTGATACTATAATAAATGAACCTGGTTCGAACTTGAGCAAGTGTCTCGAGTTCGAGCTCGATTTCATAATTAAAAAAACTCATGATATGATGCGTCGAACTCTTTTGATAACTTCACTTCAACTAGGGGTGGATTCAGGCCGGGTGGCCCGGAACCGGCTCGGGACCGGTACTGTTCTGGCCTGGCCTGACCCGGTGGTCCGGTCAGTGACCGGTCTGGGTAGGCCTGACCCGTGGGTTTTCCGGTCTGGGCTCGGGTCACCCAAAACAAGGCCCGACCCGGCTCGTGTCCAAGTCGAACTTCAACTTTTAACTATGGTGCCATGCAATTAGTGGTGGACCATGTTCGGGCCACCCGGGTGACCCGGCTCGTGAATCGGCCCGACCTGCTACTGTGCGGGCTCAGAACCGGCCCACTCTGGCTGTCCGGGACCGGGTGTAGACCCGAACCAGGGGGGGGGGGGGGGAGCAGTGGGGGGCGGTCTCGGTTCTGGCAAAATGTGACCCGACCCGGCCGGGTCGGGTTCGGGTCACAATGGTTATATTTAAAACAATTTTTTTTGGGCCAAAAGAGCCGTTAGGCCAACGGTTGGGACTAGCCAAACGGCTATATAGCCGTTGGGTGGGCTAGAAGGGGGTCCGGACAGTTTGGGGGGAGGGGGGGAGCGTGGGGGTGGGTTCAAAAAAACTATAAATACTTTTAATCGTAAACATTTTTCCATATTTCTTCTCCAACTTTTCCTAAATCCTACTCTCTACTCTCTAATTATTTTCATTTTCTCAAATTCTCTTATTCTTCAATATATTATACGAAGTATATCTTTAAAAAAAAAACACAAAGGATAAAGGTCTTCACAATCAAAGTTGGGAAACAAAATTTAAGCAGATTGGAATGAAATGATGAACCTTAAAGACTCAGAAATAGTTACAAGCTAATGCTTTAAGTTATGCAAGGATAATAAGATGTGAAGGGGGAAAACAGCACTGCTTAGCGCTTTCCACCACCACCACCCAACTTGGGGCCTTTTGGCATAGCACTTCCCTTGGAAAGATTACCCTTCCCAGACTTCTGTGACTTTGCTACCACCTCAGCCTTCTTAGCTCTCTTCTCATCTTTAGTCTTCTTGATCCTTTCCTTGATTTCTCGGAGTGCAGCTTCCCGAGCAGCATATCGGACTTCTGGTTTCTCACTTCTCTTCTTCTGGATGACCTCTAGTGTAGCACCAACTATTGATCTTGAGTATGGCTTCTTGTTGGCACGTCTCCTCTTCTTAACAGCTTCTTGTGCTAAATCCTTCTTGTGCTGCTTCCTATATATTGTCGTCCATGTGAGCTTGGCAGGTTTCAGCTTGTTGTGGAAGTATCTTTTACATTTTGAATTTGAAAACATGAAAACCTGTGAATCAGCACGAACAAATCTGATACCCTTCCCAGGATATATCTTGGCACCACTGAAACGACAGAGCTCAGTCTTGAGAACCATGACTCCGAGGTGCACTGCCGCTCTTCCTTCTTCCTTCACATATTATATATCTACTTATATTATTTATCTACTTATAAATACATACTATCCTCCGTATCTCATTAATTGCAACATTGGAATATATACACTATTCATGTACTTTACTTTGACTACATTTTATTTATCAGGGAAAAGTACGGAAAAGGTACTTGTGGTTGGGCCCGTTTTCAGATAGGATCATGTGCTTCATTCTTTATCAAAGAGGCTCATGTGTTTAAATTCCGTTATCACAAGAGGGTCACGCCGTTAAAAACGTCTGAAAAAGACCGTTAAAAGTAACTCCGATTTTCAAAAGTGCCTGAAAAATTAAAAGAAAAATACCGAAAGGTGCGCCTCGTCAAGATGACCTCCAAACCACCTTTGCCTTTGGATTTTTCAGATCTGTTTGAATTATTTTTTAAAAATGATTTTGCTAATATCACTTTTCCGATGGACTTTCCGGTGACAAGGGTGGCTGAAAACAAAAAAGAAAGATGGCCTAGCGGTCGTCCTATTGAGGCGCACCTTCCGGTATTTTTCTTTTAATTTTTCCGGCACTTTTGAAAACCGGAGTTACTTTTTCAAGCGTTTTTAACGGCGTGACCCTCTTGTGATAACGGAATTCAAACACATGAACCACTTTGATAAAGAATGAAACACATGACCCTATCTGAAAACGCGCTCAACCACGAGTACTTTTTCCGTACTTTTCCCTACTTATTAATGTATGTGAATTTTTTTTTTGAAAAATGATGTTAAATTCGTCTCATTACTAATCTTTATAATCTAATTTTTATTATATTTTTACTAATACAGAATTAAATATAATGACGGTCAAAGTTGTGCGTTGGCAAACGTGAAATGTTGACTGTTGCAACTAAAAAGAGACGGAGGAAGTATATTATAGAGAAAACTCTCAAATAGGCCCTCGTACTTTGGCCAATTCCTCAATTAAGCCCTTGTAGTTCCAAATCACCCAATCAAGGCCGCGTACTCATAAAAAACACCCAATCTACCTTTTTAGCCGGTTGACACTCGGTTAGCCAGTTGAAGGCTGACCTGGACTCCAACGTGTCCCTCCATTACCAGGCATTTAATCTGACGTGGCTTTACCCCACTTGAAGTCCGCCAACTCACCTAAAGGATTGTAAAAATCCCCAAATTCCTCCCTAACATGCTTCCTTGGATTTAGAAATGTAACGAAGCCTTAAATGAGTTAGTTAGTTGACGGGAGTTCTATCTCAGTGCTGCGAAGGAGAGGAAGGTTCATTGCTCGAACGGCGGAGTTGAAGCCCAGTGGTGCGTAGCGTGGAAGGAAGCTTGTTGGAACGTGGGAATCTGAATTGAAGTGGTGAAAAGTCATGTAAGGTACGTTGTTGTAGTTCATGATTCTTTGCCCTTTTGGATGAATTATGGGTTAAGATTACTTCTGAACTTCACAATTTGTATACATATCTTCATGTTGGGTATAACTGAATTAGTTTAAAGTTTCCTTGCGCATGTTGCTTAGACAACCCTAAACCTGAGGTTTTAGGTCTTAAATGTAGTCTTAAATATAGACTGTAATGGTGAAATTCAATGAATGTTTTGAATTTAATGACTTTACTTCAAAACAAACAATGGCTCCATTAGAGGTATTTTCTTCAAAACATCAAGTGCCACTATGGAGTCCTTGAATGAGTTGATTGATGATGATACTGCAATGAACCTAATACAATTAGCTAGAAGCTGTGGGAAGGGTGAGATCTATGTAGAGCATGCACATGATGAATTACACTCCCAAAGAGATGATGTGGAGGCCCATAGTGAAGACCATGAAGCAAATGCAGATGTGGATGACATTAATGATGACACAAATGTAGGTAGTGATGCCCCAGGTCATGAAAGTGATGTTGAGGAACAACATCACAGTGGTAGCTCAGAAGGAGACAATGAGGATGAAGAAGAGGAGGTGCTACATGATGTGGAAGTTCTTAACAACAATTAAACACCAATGACAAATAATGTTCCTGAGATGCAACACATACAAAGTCCTGAACATGGGTTTCAGAATGGGAGTGAAGAAGAAACTGCTGAATATGACTCAACCCACCTAGCTTGCATTCTGAGGGAGAAGATGAAACTCAGTCCAAAAGGCCAGGTAGTGGGAATGGTTCTTATAACCCAAAATCTGAACCTCCCCACTTTAAGGTGGGAATGTTGTTTGAGGATGGTAAGCAATTTAAAAGTGCTATGATTAGATATGCCGTTTATAATAAAAGAGATATAGTCTTTGTTAAGAATGAGCCTCTGAGAGTCAGACTGAAATGTGCCATTAATTGTCCATTTGCTTCTACTGCTTGTTTGGAAGAGAGGTTGAAGTGCTTTCAACTTGAAGTTTGGAATGCTGAACATGTGTGTAACTTGAAGTTCAAGCTAAGAATTGTAAGTCAGAAATGGATTGCTGAGACCTATGAGGCTAAGTTGACTGAGAATCCCTCCCTGATTGCTGCAGAGTTAAAAAAATTGCTTCAAGCAGAACATAAGTTGAATGTCTCCATTAGTATGGCAACAAGAGCTCTGAAAATAATGCGAGATAATACCCAGTGTGCTTTTAAGGACCAATTCAAGAAACTTAGGAACTATGGAGAGGAAATATTGAAGGCAATGCCAGGTAGTACAGTGGTCATTAAGACAGATAGAGTTGTACCTGATGCTCCCATGGTTTTCCAACGAATTTACATGTGTTTTGGACCTGTGGAAAACGGATTCTTGGAAGGATGTAGGAAGGTGATAGGTTTGGATGGTTGCTTCCTTAAAGGGCAGTTGAAGGGTGAGATTTTAAGTGCTGTTAGAAGAGATGCCAATAATCAGATGTATCCAATTGCTTGGGCAGTAGTAGAGATATAAAATACTTCTTCATGTACTTGGTTTTTAGAGCTTTTGAGGGAAGATCTATAGATAACAAACCCAATTCAGTGGACCATTATTAGTGACCAACAGAAAGTAAGTTTACTTACTCTCATATAACTCAATTCTTTAATAAATTACATTCCATTTATACTGATTTTGTCAATGAATGTAGGGTTTGTGCAATGTCATTGCCAGAGTATTCCCTGAGGCTGAGCACAGGAACTGTGCAAGGCATATACATGCCAAATGGGCCAAAAATCACAGGGGAATGTTACTGAAGAAATTGTTCTGGTAATGTGCTAAGTGTACTTGTGAAGCCCAATTGCAGGCATCTTTGATTGAGTTAGATAAGCTTGACCCAGAAGCTGGTGCTGATTTGCGCAAGTATACTTTCAAGTTGTGGTGCAAGGCTTACTTTAGGACTGAGGTCAAATGTGATATTGTGGATAACAATTTGTCTGAATCATTTAACAGTACTCTGGTTCAGCTTAGAGACAAGCCACTGATACCAATGCTTGAAGGAATGAGAGTGGCTATGATGAAAAGAATAACTAAGAAAAGGAAGTATGTGAGGAAGTGGCCTGGTAAGGATATTCAACATAGTTGTTTCATATTTATAGTAGTACTCTCAAAACTTGTTTACTATGTAGAAGAGTAGCCTGAACTTGATTTCATCTAATCAATAATGGTTGTTATTCATGTCCATTTGGTCCTCTCATCATGAAGAAATTGAATAAAAATATGTTGGCTAGCCAGGGCTGGATTGTTGATTACAATGGTGATGATGGCTATGAGATTAAAAAGGGTAGATTCCAATTCAAGGTGAGCCTGAACACAAGATCTTGTGCATGCAAAAGATGGGATCTTTGTGGGATTCCCTATGCACATGCTATCTGTGCAATTCTTGATAAAGGGGATGATCCGGAAAGCTATGTGGACTCTTGCTACAATAAGGAATTGTATGAAAAGACTTATTCATACACGTTGCAACCAATAAATGGTCAGTTACTCTGGCCAAGAACCCAACATGAAGAAATTCTACCTCCCATACCTAAAAAAATGAGTGGGCGTCCAAAGAAGAAAAGAGTGAGAGAAGAAACAGAACCCCATGCACCATCAGGGACTCATCTTCCCAGAAAAGGAAGAATCATGAAATGTTCTATCTGTCAAGGGGAAGGTCACAACAAGAAATCTTGTAAAGTACCTGCTGAAATTGATGGCAATTCAAGGGGTGGTGATAGAGGAACAGAAGAAAATGAAGAGCACACACAAGCTGTCCAAATGGGAAGAGGGGGAAGGAGTAGACCTAAGAGGGGTGGAAGAGGTGGGAGAGGTGAGTTGGGTAGTGTGGAAACTGGGAGAGATCAGGGGGGGTAGTGCAGAAAGTGGAAGAGGTAAGAAGGGGAGAGGGAAGATGGGAGGAAGTAAGAGGGGGAGAGGAGAAAGGGGATTTGGGGTTTATTTTGATGAACATACAGAGATAGCTATTTTGGAAGTAAGTGTTAGTGTTTTGTAAACTTCTTAGTAATTTATGTCTTTTTGTTATGTGTAATAATTTTTTTTCCATGATTGCAGCCTGGACAAAGAGGGGAAACATTGCTAAGTGGAGGCAATAGTGGAGGTGAAGGAGAGGAAGGACAATGATATGCTCACTGGAGGGTGTTGGAGGGTGTTGGATGTTTATTTTGTTCCTTTTGAATAATATTATGTAATGGTGGTGTGAATGATTTAGTAAGATTGTAGTAATGCTTTTGGATTATGATGCATTCAGTGTGTAATGACTTTAGTGTGTACTCTCATCTTAGCATATGTATGGTTCCTTCCATGGGTTTTTGGATTATGATGCATTCAGTAATGGTGTGCAATATTGGTTAATGGTGTTAGTCAGTCTTATTTCATTTCAGTAATGCTTCCTGTGCTCAGTCTTATATTCATGTTATTACGAAATCAATGTTATGCACTTTGTGAGTCTTATTCCATATGCAGTACTTGACCATAACATCAGATAAATAAAACAAGGGAACAACATTGATGACCATACATCTTCTGGCATACACAATATTTTGTCAGTCTTATTCCATATGTAGTACTTGACCATAACATCAGATAAATAAAACAAGGGAACAACATTGATGAACATACATCTTC